GCCCTCGCGCTGTGCTGCTGCACCTCTCTGTGCGTGGCTGCTGGTGGCTCACTTGAGGACGGAAGTCGATCGACAGTTATTGAAGGTGATCCCCAGATAACGCTAAAGGAGACAGTTGATACCAGCATCTGCAAAGCGCTGATTAGCTCAGCTACTGGGAATACCAACGAAGTTACAATTTCGACTACGGTTACTTTGAAGAAGACGGGTGACACTGAAGATCCGAAAAAAATTACGAATGAACCGCCTGAGAAAGTCACTGTTCCTGTTGGGCACAAGTTAACTCTGACGACCTCACTGGATGTTAAATGTACAAAAAAAAACCCAACGGCTGCAGAAACCTCTGAAGCAACGTGTATAGTTAACAAGGATGAAGCAGCTACCAACAGTATCTCCTATGATGTCACTGTGAAGCCCACTACAACTGGCCAAACTGCTGTAAATATCCCGGAGACACAAAAGCGTGAAGTGAAGGTACCAGCTGGGCACGATGTGAACATTATTGCAAAAGTTGTGGCTACTTGTACGCCTGTACCAGAACCCGAAAAATCTTTACCGTCTGTACAGGCCAGAGGTCTAACCAGGGAACAACAAGATACGTCGGCTCTCAATCCAAACGTTGAGGATACGTCCGACCCACTTAAACCTTCTTCAGTTAAAGAAAGTACACCCAGGCAAAAGTCAGACGAACAGGCGCTTCAGGGAAGAACTCAATCTGGAATACCACGCACCCCATTGAGTGACCCTGCCACCGTCAGCGCAATGCCAAATGGTGAATTTAGTGGTAGAGAAAAGGGCAGTGTTGTCAGCAAAGACATCCCCGCTCCAACTTCCAGCGAGGCAGAGAGCACAGAAACAGACAACTCCGTCACAGTGAGTGACGCCGACCACACTGCCCCCACATCCACACCTCAATCAGGGACCAACACCGAAGGGGCACCCAACGCTGATGCCGGCACGTCCACCTCTGCGGGAGAGGGCGTGAAGCTTCCTGACCGCAACACCGACGCCAGCAGCAGCAGCACTGCGTGGGTGCGTNTGACGCCGATCACACTGCCCCCACAGCCACACCTCAATCAGGGACCACCGCCGAAGGGGCTCCCAACACTGATGCCGGTACGCCCACCTCTGCGGGAGAGGACATGAAGCTTCCTGACCGCAACACCGACGCCAGCAGCACTGCGTGGGTGCGTGCCCCACTGTTGTTGCTGCTGGCCTGCGTGGCCGTGTGGTGAGACGTCTGTGTGTGGGTGTGTGCAGGGGGTGACGATGGCCTCGTAATAATTGCGTTGAGTCCCGAGGGCTGCGTTCTTCATTATAAAGATTCTTTTGTTTTCATTTCATTGCTGCCCCGTTGTGGGCTGGGCGCTGTTTAATTCACCCGGGACTGTACTCACTTGTGCTGTGTGTGTGTTGTCCGGGAGGCGTCTGTTTGTTTCTTCTCTGGGTGTGTTGGGGCTTTGCTTGCTGCTGGGCATTGTGTGCGGCCTGCCCTCTAACTGATGTCACCTGTTGGGTGGTTCACTGTGCTGCGGTGCACTGTGTTGGTGCCGTGTCCCTCTCGCTCTCTGTGTGTGTGTGCCACCTGCTGTGCTCCTCCTCTCCCCCGCAGACACAGGTGGTCCCAGGCTACATTGACGCTGATGCTGCGCCACGTGCTGTGCGTGTTGGCCCTCGCGCTGTGCTGCTGCACGTCTCTGTGCGTGGCAGAAACCGGTGCACCTGCGGGAACAGTTGAATTCCCACTTGCTATTGGAAATGATGGTGCCGAGATATCCCTGACGGAGACAGTTAGTACTGAGAGCTGTGGGGTGCAGACAAGCCCGGTGGCTGAGGGATCCAGGACAGTTACTGTGTCTATTACGGTTACTTTGAGGAAGAAGGGTGACCCAGAAAAAACAAAAGAAATTAAGAAAAAAAACCCTACGATTGTCAAAGTTCCTCTTGGGCACATTTTTGCGCTGGATACATCTTTGATTGTTGAGTGTACGAAACAAAGTGGGGCTGATGCCGCCATCACGAAAACAAACTGCACTGCGGAAGATTCAGCTACGGCTACCGGCAGTATCACCTATGTGGCCACTGCTGCCGACTCCACAGCTGGCGGTATTACAACAACGAAGGAGCACGAAGTCAAGATACCAGTTGGGTCTGGCGTGAGTATTATGGAGAACGTTGTGGTTAAATGCATTCCCTTAACAGTGGCTGGATTGACCCCCACATCTGCAGGGGCCGGACCTTCCGGCGAAGGCAACGAAGGAAAACTTAATGGTAAAGTTCCTGAAGATATTTCTACCCAAGGTCAGTCTTCGATTAAGGACGATACCGTCAAAGGAGAGGCAGATCGACTTGCGTCACAGGCAAACGACATACATCAACCACCGGGTTCTGCATCGCATGATTCCATTGCCAACAGTGGAAAGATAAATGGTGAACGCGCCAGTGAAGAAAAGGACAGTAGTGTCAGCACCGAAGTCACTCCTCCAACTTCCAGCGAGGCAGAGAGCACAGAAACGGACAACTCCGTCACAGTGAAAAACGCCGATCACACTGCCCCCACAGCCACACCTCCAGCAGGGACCACCGCCGAAGGGGCTCCCAAAACTGATGCCGGCACGCCCACCTCTGCGGGAGAGGGCGCTGCAGCCAACGCGTCACCTGCGCTCAACGGCATCCCTCCGAGTGGCGTGAAGCTTCCTGACCATAACACCGACGCCAGCAGCAGCAGCACTGCATGGGTGCGTGCCCCACTGTTGTTGCTGCTTGTCTGCGTGGCCGTGTGGTGAGACGTCTGTGTGTGGGTGTGTGCAGGGGGTGACGATGGCCTCGTAATAATTGCGTTGAGTCCCGAGGGCTGCGTTCTTCATAATAAAGATTCTTTTGTTCTCATTTCATTGCTGCCCCGTTGTGGGCTGGGCGCTGTTTAATTCACCCGCGGCTGCACTCACTTGTGCTGTGTGTGTGTTGCCCGGGAGGCGTCTGCTTGTTTCTTCTCTGGGTGTGTTGGGGCTTTTCTTGCTGCTGGGCATTGTGTGCGGCCTGCCCTCTAACTGATGTCACCTGTTGGGTGGTTCACTGTGCTGCGGCGCACTGTGTTGGTGCCGTGTCCCTCTCGCTCTCTGTGTGTGTGCCACCTGCTGTGCTCCTCCTCTCCCCCGCAGACACAGGTGGTCCCAGGCTACATTGACGCTGATGCTGCGCCACGTGCTGTGTGTGTTGGCCCTCGCGCTGTGCTGCTGCGCCTCATCGTGGGCGGTAGAAACAGGTACACCTGAGCGCACAGTTGCATTGAAGCTAACGAATGGCGAAGCGAAGATAACGCTGACGGAGACAGTTGATGACAGCAGCTGCACAAAGCAGATAGCCGCAGCTGAGGGAAAGAGCAGCGATGCTGTCGTTACTACTGCGGTTACTTTGAAGAAGAAGGATGAATCCGGAAAGAGAGAAGATGTTCCGCATGAATCTTCTTTGATAGTCAAAGTCCCCGATGGGTACAAATTAACGCTGGTGACCACATTGGTTGCTGAATGTGCCAAAAAAAGTGAAGATGCGTCTGCGTCCACTGCAATAAGCTGCCAAGAGGCGGTGGGTGCAACTTCTGACACCTACACCATCACCTATGAGGCCACTACGAAGTCCACTGCTTCTGGCCAGACTGCTGCAAATATTCCGGAGACAGAAAACAATAATGTAAAGGTTCAAGTTGGACGCGATGTGAAACTCGTTGCGAAGGTCGTTGCAACATGCGCTGCTGTATCCGTGACTCAATCATCAACACTCCCCACAAAGACCATAACTCCTGGCAGAGGACAAGGGGAATCCCCTGATGGCAACGGCCCTGGCAACACTCTTACCAAAACAAATACTCATCTATCCAAGCAAAACCCTAACACGGCAGAGCCAGACATCCTGAAGACTCAGGGTGGACAGAAGCCTCAGCAACCCAACACTCCAGTGGGTGACTCCCCCACGGGAGTTCCAGAGTCAACTGGTCAAGATGATGCCGGCGAACCTGGCCGTGGTGTAAGCAAAGGCGTCACCGCTCCAACTTCCAGCGAGGCAGAGAGCACAGAAGCAGACAACTCCGTCCCAGTGAATGACGCCGATCACACTGCCCCCACAGCCACACCTCAATCAGGGACCACCACCGAAGGGGCTCCCAAAACTGACGCCGGTATGTCCACCTCTGCGGGAGAGGGCGTGAAGCTTCCTGACCGCAACACCGACGCCAGCAGCAGCAGCACTGCGTGGGTGCGTGCCCCACTGTTGTTGCTGCTTGCCTGCGTGGCCGTGTGGTAAAACATCTCTGTGTGTGTGTGCATGGGGCGACGATGGCCTCGTAATAATTGCGTTGGGTCCCGAGGGCTGCGTTCTTCATTATAAAGATTCTTTTGTTTTTATTATATTGCTGCCCCGTTGTGGGCTGGGCGCTGTTTAATTCACCAGCGACTGCACTCACTTGTGCTGTGTGTGTGTTGTCCGGGAGGCGTCTGTTTGTTTCTTCTCTGGGTGTGTTGGGGCTTTGCTTGCTGCTGGGCATTGTGTGCGGCCTGCCCTCTAACTGATATCACCTGTTGGGTGGTTCACTGTGCTGCGGTGCACTGTGTTGGTGCCGTGTCCCTCTCGCTCTCTGTGTGTGTGTGCCACCTGCTGTGCTCCTCCTCTCCCCCGCAGACACAGGTGGTCCCAGGCTACATTGACGCTGATGCTGCGCCACGTGCTGTGCGTGTTAGCCCTCGCGCTGTGCTGCTGCACGACCTTGTGCGCGGCACTAAGTGGTGATGGTGCAACTGAGGAGGCAGCTGCAGTGCAGCTTGTAGATGGCGGCGCGAAGATAGCGCTGACGGGGAAGATTGATGACAGCAAATGCACTGCAGCTTCCCCCCCGGCTCCTGGTGAGACGAAGGATGTTACGATTTCCACTACGGTTACTTTGAAGGAGAGTGCAACACAAGAGACGACACAAACTGCGAATGGTCCGTCTAAGGCAGTCAAAGTTCCCGCTGGGTACAGCATAGCGCTGAATACCTCAAGGGAGGTTAAATGTACGAAGAAAGCCGGAACTACTTCCAACGCCGCTGAAGAAAACTGCCCAGCGGCGGAAACAACTGATACCAACAGCATCACTTATGTTGTTACTGTAATGTCCACTTCTTCTGACCAGCCTGCTGTCAAGATTCCGGAGTCACAAAAATATGAAGTGAAGGTCCCAGCTGGGCACGATGTGAAGATCATCGAGAACGTCGTGGCTACTTGCAGCCCGCCAGCTACAAGTGCGTCACCTCCTTCACAACAACCGAAGGTAATTCCTGACCCACAAGGAAAGCGCCTGGCTGACAGCGGATTGCCTAAGGTGGGCCCTACTTCACCCGAATCTCCCCCACTTGATGGCCAACCCATCACAACAGAAGGAAACAATCGGGAGACTCAGGAAGGAGCGGAACTTCAACGTGACAGCACCAAATCACTTGACACCGCCACAAGCAGAGAGAAACTAAACGGTGCACGCACCGGTGGAGAAAAGGGCAGCGATGCCAGCAACAAAGTCACTCCTCCAACTTCCAGCGAGGCAGAGGGCACAGAAACAGACAACTCCGTCACAGTGAGTGACGCCGA